TTTTCACCATGAAGACAAGTCCAGAGGTCAAATTTTTTTTTTTCAAATTAAAGTATATTACATAAGCTTTAATTTAATATATATATAAAAGTGTCAGACCTTCCGGAACATTTTCAAAAGTTAAGTTGAAAATGTTCTACTTTCTATACGCATTTTAAAAGGTTTGCACCCCCCCTGTATAAAGGGAAAAGGTCCGATTTAAAAAAAAAGTATGTCGAATGAAAGAGGTATATATAAAGTTTTTGTCAATAAAGAATAGAATTGATTCATGCATTTTTTAAAAAACTTATAGCAACATAATGATAAAAAATGTAAAATATAATATCAAGAATTTTTTCAAAAAAATAGCATATTTTTGCATACGGTATCATTTTTACCATGAAGACAAGTCCAGAGGTCAATTTTTTTTTTCAAATTAAAGTATATTACATTAGCTTTAATTTAAGATATATATAAAAGTGTCAGTCTTTCCGGAACATTTTCAAAAGTTATGTTGAAAAAGTAGTCATTTTGAATACCCTTCTGTGGACAGGGAAAGTGTCAAATTTGTAAAAAAAATATATAAAATAATAGGTAAATATCTAAGGTATTTATAAAAAAAAAAATTATATTGATTTGGCCATTTTTAAAAAAATTAGGGCAATTTTAAGAAAAAAAAATGAAAAAATATCGAAAATTAGCGATTTTTAAATTTGTAATTTTTTGGTGGATATTCTCCGTTTACAGGGAACGAGGGATTTTTTTTCAATTTTTGAGGGTAATGTCTTCAACTAGATACAAATTGTGATCTTTTGACAAATTTTTCATCAAAATCGGTTCAGTGAGAGCTGAGATTGAGCGTATACAGACACAAAAAAAAAAACACATCATAGTAAAATTAATACCGTCTCAGCTTCGCATCGAAGCTAATAGATGAATTTTAGTAAACTCTTACATTAGAGAAGGTGATACTAGTGCTAAATATTTTTGTTGTTACATTTTTTCTGAGAAATACTTTCATATCTCAGTTATATTAATGGTGACCTTTTTAAATAATTTTTTAGTGAACTGTATAAACCACACCCAACAGTTAAAAGGCCCCTGAATATATTAGTATTTTTATGGGACACACAAGTTGTTTTTTTTAATTATTATAATCAACTGTTACTTTTTTTACTTTCGTTTAGACTGCATATAAATTTTGTAATTAATTACATTTTTTAAGAACTATTATTAAAACTTTATTTTGTTTGCATTATATATATATTTAACGCATAGGCTATAGAGTATCTATTTATATTTTTTATTATTTACAAATGGGTTTGTTTAAAATGTTCTTAATTTTTCATTTCAATTTATTTTGAAGTATTAATGTATTATCGTAATTTTTTTAATTTGAATAAATATATATAATGCAATTTAATTCAATAAATATCAAAGTTTTTATCAAGATCATCAGAATTTAATCAAATCATCAAATTTTTCGACGAAATAAAAATAATATTGATAATTTTTTTTATTATTATTATTATTTTATTTTTGTTATATATTTTTTATGTTCATATATTATAGCATNGAACCAATACCTTAGCTTCCTATCGAAGCTAAAATAATATATACTGAAAAATTATTTGAACTATTATGTTTATTTAAGATGCCAAAATTTAATACATAAATTAATATTTTTCACAATATTATATTTTAAACAACATTGATTGAAGTTATAAATTAAAATTAAAAATTAGTAAACTAGTTGAAATTTTATAATTAAACTTTTAATAAAGTTCTGTTTCTATTTGACACATGATCTTTAATTTAATAGATTATTAAATTTCTTTAGGTGAATTCAAAACATATGGATTATGTTCATTTAGTAATTAAATATTATTCTTTTATTTTAAATGAATTCCAAATTTCTCTATCATGTTCATTAAATACGTCAATTATATGTTCACAATCCTCAAAATATGGTATTTCCTCTAAAGAAGGATTATTTTTAATTGATTCATCATTATTACAGGATATGTCAAGAAAATTGAAATCTTGTGTATTCATTTCATATGGAAGATACTGCAAAAAAAAAAGAATTTAATATATAAATATCCCGATACAACTAGGCCTTAGCATAAATAGAGCAAAACATAGTTGATATTATATTGACTTAAATCTGATGGTGATTTAAACACTATCATAAATTGTTATAATAGCTAATTTTTAAATTGAATAGATGAATCCATAAAATAAGTCTGAACTGAATTAAGACTGACCCAAGTTTTGGTGAAAAGGCTGTAAACATTTGATGAGCAAAAAAAAATATATAATTAATGTAAAATATAAATGGTTTAATAAAATTATTCCACCTTTAATTAAAATTAAAATGTTTATTTCCATCCATTCCTTGGAAAACTTATTTATATAATGAACTTACATTTTTGTGTTTTTAAAAAACTTACTTTTGGATTTTTTTTAAGGTATTTTAGTAATCCTATTACACAAACTTGAGATCTATCCACACAATTCTTATCTTCATATTGCTTTTCACATGCTTTAAGTCCAACTATATTAATGTAATCTTCCATAGTGATTTTATTTTCTTTCAATGATAAAATGTATTCAAAAATCATTAGAATAATATGCCCGGTTACTGAACCTGAAATTATTAAAATGTTCAAATCAATTAATATTCTTTAAAAATATATAACTAATCAATTTTTAATTAATCAAAATCTAGCGTTTAGCATAAGACATTATTTATATAAAATATTTACCATTTCCATCAATAAAAGAAAGTCCAACTTTTTTATCGTGAAAACAATTATGAAGAAAAATACGTGGCAATTGAGATTTTAATAAATATATTCCTACATCTGTCCTCCAATTTTGAGCTGAAATAATGTATATCAATCTCTGTAAATAACAATAAAAAAATCAGGTCTCTTTTTATATTATTACCTATTTATATAACAATTATTAATAATCTTAAATTGTTTTTAATTTAGAAATTCAAGCAAGTCAATTATACGATATAAAATAACTAGAGCTATGGTGAAATTTCGTTGTATGATCTAATTATAAATTATTAAGTTAGAATTACATGGATAATTTGTATTGACAAAATATTTTGGTAAATATTGAGTTATTTATGTATATACGTAGAGATCAAAGACACAAAATTGATTTGGGGATAATTTAATTTCTCATCAAAATATAATAGTATAGTTGTTTAATGAAACTGTTTATAATTAGTACTAAATTTATAGAAATTTACTCAAAGTAATGTCCATTATACTTATTAGTTTTTGTATTTATATATAAAAATTATTATGTCACTATAGGCACTATTCCTGAATAACTTAATCCGTTCCTAAAACTCATACCAACTCTTATAACTTTCGATACAATTTACATTTCGTTGTGATCTTTTAAAATAATTTATGCATTTTTAGAAATCATATTTTTAGCTTCGATGCAAATCTGAGAAGGTATAAATTTTTCTATGATTTTTTTTTTTGGGGGGGGTCAATGAACGCTCAATCTCAGCTCTCCCTAGACCGATTTTGATGAACAACATGTCAAAAGATCACAATTTATACTTAGTCGAAGACATTATCCTCAAAATTTAAAAACAATTCTCTCATTCCCCGTAAACGGGGAAATCCCTCAAAAAGTTACAAATTTAATAATCGCTAATTTTTTTTACTAAAAATTGCCATAACTTTTTTAAAAATGAACGAATCAATATAATTTTTTTTAATATAAATACCTTAGGTATTCATCTAAGGACACTTTTATATATTTATTAAATTAAAGCTTATGTAATATACTTTAATTTGAATAAAAAATATTTGACCTTTGGATTTATCTTCATGGTAAAAATGACTACCGTATTCAAAAATATGCTTTTTTTGTGTTAAAATTCTGGGTTTTGTATTTTATTATATTTTAAAATAACTGACTAGGGAAATACATAGATTTTCATAAATATTATATAAATAAAATTGATATAGCATAGAAAGTTAAACTTATTTTATTTTTTTTGCTTTTTTATAGTCGATGGAACCAACGTACGGTTGCTGAGTCGGTAAAACTTGTGTTTTACGCACTTGGGGTACAAGATTCCAACCCTTCTATGACAATGAATATTTGCATTTTTTTTCTTAATTCTTTTTAAGTTAAAATAATATTCAACTCCTTTGATATTAATCACCTTTAGTTTCAATAAAGATCAAGGATCCCATCACTTTAGTCACCCCGTACGAGAAGAAATTTCTTATTCATATTTTAATTATTTTACTATATTTTAAGTCTTAATTTTGATGCAAAGCTGAAAAGATATTTTTTTGTAACTATCATTTATTTTCTCTGCTCTAACTTGACCTACTTTAAAATAATTTTTAAAATAAGTTTAAAATTATTTTTAACTTTTTAGTTCGATGTGCTTTAAAAGCGTGTTTTTTTAGTTTTTTAAACTATATTTATTTTTTAGTTTTTAGTTTCATATTATGATAGTAATTACTATCAATATCATGGTTGTTACGGGTAACGAAAAATCAGGGTTCGATTCCGGGAAGGGAGTCCGAGAAACGGCTACCACATCCAAAGAAAGCAGTAGGCGCGTAAATTACTCACTCCCGGAACATGCAGGTAGTGACGAAAAATGACGATACGGAAATCATCCCTCGTAATCGGAATGAATACTTTATATCTCTTAATTAAAATAAAGCGTGTTAATAAATAAATTTTAATAGTAATTAGAATATATATATATACAAGTAAAGCGACTTAAGTACGTAAACGTATCATGCACTAGGTATAACCGTATTTTGTGGGCGGGCGGGTCGGACTAACGTTATACCTGAGGTATAAACGGTGGTAGGAATATATAAATATATATACGTAAGGCGCATTAGACGCGGGCGGTATTGGTCAGTCAAAATAAAAATTTGTTTATATATATATAAAATTGATGACAAGCACGCGTGTACGGGTACGATAACTAAAAATAAATTTTTATAGGAATAGTGTGCCGTCGTGTGGTGAGCGAGGCGTGGGGAGGGGTGAATGCGTTATGACAGTCTAGTCTAGACGACGGAATATGCGATAACGCGTGGCGTTTGGAGAGTTACAAACATACATACATACATACATACAGGTGAAACTAATATAAGCGTGTTAAAAAAATAGAAGTTAAAAAAAATGAAAGACTTTCTGATGACTTATTTTTTATGATTAATTGGTCTCTAAAGTCGATAATCATAGAGCTCTTAGTGGATATGATACACCGGACAAACTATTTGAATAATGCTTTAATCAAAATTTATTTTTCAGTGGTAATATTTAAGATAAGTACAACTTACATTAACATGAAAAATGAAAAATTATACGAAATCTTGATTTCTAGGAGTTATCGGGAATTAAAGCCAAAAGTCATACAACTTTGGTATATTGGTAAATTTTGTCATTATTTGTTTAGTAACGGAATGCATAAATCATTTGAATTATTTCAAATAAAACTTGTATAATATAATATATAATTAAAAAAAGGAAAAACGTTCCAGTGACTTGTCCTCTATGAGAAATTAAACTCTATATTCAAAAATCATTTCATTTTTTTTTTTGGTCTTTTAAATCTTAAATTTTTTTTAAACATGTTTAAAATACGTATCGAAACGTTTTACAAAAGTTATTTTAAATACTGTCAGATATCAATCAATACTAATTAAAAATATTCCTCAACGCCACTTTACCTACTGTATTGTACTTTAATATTTATTTTTGTTATTTGTTTAATGAACATTCATTATTTGATGAAAATATTTCAGAAACTTTTATTTACTTGACTTTAATTGTGTAAACTTTTTAAATGATTTTTATTTTTGGCTAGATGAGAATAAAGGATATCCCGGATAGATACAAAAGTTGTGCTGCAGAATTAATAAATTATCTCAAAGATATCCAAAAGTAATTTTTTTAATCTTATTTCTGTATTTACTAGAGTCAGTATATTGCAGTCATATTTAGTGGGGTTTTTTTTTATTCAATTTAAAAAATACCTTCTCAAAAAAGAATTACTAAAACTATCTTAAAAGAATATTTACTTTATATCGAAATGTTTTATGTTAGTTATTTAAATCACTATGGATTTCAACTAATACGATTTAAACTATTCACTGTTCTCAATTTGCTAGGCCCCATTGTAGTTTTAAGTTATTTTTAAACTTTTATTTATTTTTTTGCAGTATCTTCTATATAAAGAAAATATCCATTCACCCTGGCCATCTTTATGAAAATGAATATGTGTTTAATTGTTAAAGATCTTAATTATCTATTTCAAATAAACTAATAAAGCCTGGAATGTAATTTATTATGTTCAATTTCTGTATTACTATAATTCTAGATTCTCTAGCTTTCTATCATAATATCTAAGCCTCCAGTATAGACAAATACATATTTATAAAACTTTTAATATTTATTGTGCTAAGAATCTAGAGCTTTTCTAAGAACCGTAAAGCAATAAAAATAAAATTATTTTTAGTTGTACAAATTATAGTTTTACTAAGAGAAAAAAAAGGAATTAATAAGAATATGTCAAATTTAAAAAGATCGCAAACGTCTATACACTACAGATAGGTATTTTTTTCTTTTACTATTTAACTAATGGTAACATATCATAATTTTCATACAATTTTTCGTTTTCATACTTTATATTTTTGTCAATTTTACTATCAAAATAACCTAAGTTTTCAATAAAAAATAACTGCGTAACTTAAAATAGGATTTGATATTAACATAAATTATTTATATATATGTATTATACAGTCTTGGAATTAGCTGTAGGGACGTTACTATAGTACGCTACTTTTTATTTAGTTGTATTGGAAGCGAACTACTTTTTTTAGAAATAGTGTCAATAAAATATTTATAATTTTTCAGTAGTAAAAAAACTTTGCTACTCGATTATAATAACCATAATTATTTATTTCATAGGTACAATATGTAAACAATTTTCTAATAAATTTGTAATTACAACAATTAATGTTTATATTAGAGAATGGTCAAGTGGAGCCTATTTATGTGGATTTATTAAGTTTTTGACACTATAAATATTGATTTATTAGTTACTAAGTTTTTTTATAATACATTATGTATTTTCCGTTCATTTTTACTTGTCTATAAACACTGTTCAACGCTTACATATTCATAAAAAAGTAGGACTTTTTTAACTTAACTTAAAAAAAATAGTCCCCACACCTTATTTTCTATGTGCAAAAGCCATTGAAGTTAAACAAAAAATGTTTTTGTAGTGTAAATAGTGTCTGTTTTTCGTGTTGTATTTTTATTAAAATCTGTCATAACTATTTGAAAAAAAAATGTATAAAGACATTTTTTTTTGTTATTTAAAACGAAAATTTTAAGGTATTCCATAAAATTATTTATTATTAATCAATAGTAAAAATTATGAATCATACGTTTTAATAACGACGAAAAATTATTTTATATTTTTAGCTTCGATGCGAAGCTGAGAAGGTATTGGTTTTACTATGATGTGTTTTTTTTTTTTTTTTTTTTTTTTTTTTTTT